CCCCAGGATCATGACCCGAGCCGAAGGCATACGCTTAACCAACTGAGCCACCCAGGCGCCCCGCTGGGTTACATTTTTAAAAATTAATTCTAGATGTCTGCTACTTTCACAGAAATGTTCTCTAAAACATCAGAAGTGTGAACAACCGTAGTCCCTGCCGATGGGGCCTGGTCACTGGGGTGACCCACTGTTGGGGTCCCCACTATTCCCGATTGTCTCCCCAGCTTCAAGCACTTTGTGGCTTGCTAGCCCCTACGTTACCTGAGGTGGCTTTGTTTCTCTTTGTTTTGTCCTCACTCACCCTTTCCAGACCCCCATCATCTTGTCCTCGCAACAACGCCTATGCCAAGCCCGTCCCCATCTTGGGTCCCAGCACCAGCTGTGTCCTCCACCTGGAACGTTCTTGCTGATCACTTTATGTGGCCAAAGTGTCTCCTCACTGAGCTCCCAATCTAGGTCACTCCATCCTGTTATTCTTGAGCCCAGCTCCCTGTTTGTTCCTTCTAAGGCACTTTGCATTTTGTAATCGTTCTTTTGTTTACTGGTGTAAAGCCTGTTTTGCTTAAGAGGTCCATTTGACCAGGGCAAGGCTAGGCCTGGTACGGCTCCAGTGCTGAGAACATTACCTGCCCCACTGCAGATTGAACCAGAAAACCAGTTGTGGTGTGGGCGAGGTTCAGAGTGGCTCAGTAATGGACCTTGGTCACGCGGCTCCCAACCGGCACCAGTGGAATCTGCCTTTGGGCCGAACAACTTGGCAGTTACATGGCTAATGCCCATTTTCTGCCACTTCCGTTGTATTTTTTATTTTTTAAAAGATTTTATTTGAGAGAGAGAGAGCATGCACACGAGCAGGGGGAGGAGCAGAGGGAGAGGGAGAAGCAGACTCCTGCTGAGACGTGGGGCTCAACCCAGGACCCCGGGATCATGACCTGAGCCGAAGGCAGACGCTTAATGACTGAGCCACCCAGGCGCCCCCCTTGTATTTTTAAAATTACTATTTTTTAACCTTCAAGGCAACATGACATCTCACGATGCTGATTGGTGCTGAATTAAATCGGTTCTCTTTGTAACATTTTCCTGTTGGAATTTGCCTATTGCAGTCAGTATTTATGTATTGAACAGTGTGCTAATTTCTGTTTCTTCATTTAATTGTTAGAGCCTCCTTTGTAGTTTGAGAAATGCAGCAGTTTATTGCACTTAACGTAATAACAGCGAGTAGCAGTCATAGGGCTTGTGTGCATAGTTCAGGGCCTCGTAACTTCGTATTCAGAGAACATGTTTTCTGTCAGTTTTTCCAAGTTGACTCTCTTCAGTGAGGTCACAGTTTGTCAGAGTTGTAGAGAGAGGGAGAGCGGCCCAGGGGTGTCAGTGGGCTGATCAGGTTTGTGGTTCATGTGTGTGCGTGTGCGTGCACAGGGAGAGCTGTGTGTGTGTGCGTGCGCAGGGAGAGCTGTGTGTGTG